TCATGGTTCAACAACGTGCAAAAGAGGCTACCAATAATCCTCCCTTCGATATCGTTCCAACAAAACCAAGAAGGAGAAATCACCGCAAAGGTCCTCAGTATGACAACAGCAGAAGTGATCCTCAACATTCAGAATAAACTCGAAACCAACATCGTAGTAGATAAAGATATATGTACTGTGGACGATACCGTACTACAGGGATGTTATCGCTGCCGCAAAGGATCAAAAGCACAGGTGCGATGTAAATCATTAAGACCTATCCAAGCTGAAATAGCATGCCCTTCAGCGACCTTCTCAATACCGTACAACAACGATGGACAACCCTCAATACTCCAATTTAGCTTCAGCCATGTCAGAGTCGACGAACAATGTACAGTCACATGCGGATCCACACCTACTACTTTCGCAATAAGAGGCCTACTAAAATTTACGAGCGTCACTAATGGCTTAGTAGACACGTGGCTGAAAGGACAGACAAACACGGATTTTGAACTCCAATGGCCAGACTTCTGGCACATAGCCGACATATTCATAAATTACTATAAAACACTTATTACTGTCTCTATTCTTCTAATTATAATATTCGTGCTCACCTACGCATGTCTACCTGCTTGCACAGTCCAAGTCGGATTATGTATGTTCAAAGCTATCAAGCTACTCCTACGAAATATCGGCAGACTAATTTGTCTCATCCGCTTAATTCCCTGTAAAAAGTCCCACGCACAACAAGCTATTGTAAATCACCCAACGTATGGCATGTTACGAATTTCTGCTCAATCTGCCCTGCTATTCTACTCTGCTATTCACCATCGTATTTTCGCCGTCTAACAATCCAAAATTTCCACTCAACCTGACCTACTATTCTGCTCTGCTATTCACTACCGTGCTTTCTCCATACAATGCTGTAACATAATATTAATAAACAATTCCAGATGTCAACCAAAATGGACAAGGCTACTCAAACTCCACGAGCACCACAGAAAGACGCTACCACACAAGCACCAATCAAAGCATTTCTCCATGCAGGAACACAAACGGGAACCGACAACACCAAGCCAACTACCAACACTGCAACCCAAACAAGGCGTTTTCACCCTACAGGACAAGCCAACGTCGCAATACAGACACTGCTCCACAAAGTGCCAGGCCTATCATCAAGGGCGACTCAAACGGCTTGACTCTTTCCCGAACACTGTTTCCCTGCGCTCTTCCGAGGCGGCGGGGGGAATATAGAGAACATTCTTTACGAATATTGGAATGTTCTCTATGTAAATCAATTACAACCTTATGTCAAACATTTCAAATACTGTTTCCGGTGACCTTATGACGATCTGATAACCTTATGTCAAACATTTTCGAATACGGCTTTCGGTGACCTTATGACGATCCGATAACCACATGGCTAACATTTCGTTGGCGGTTATCTCATGAAAAACATCTGCAGTTACAGTCCTATGCTTTGACTATCGCCTCATCAGATTGCAACGCTTGTGAAATGTTTCCGCCAGCCGTCCTTCCGCATACGGTAGCCTGACTCCACCTACTGTAACCCCACTCCACCTACTGTAACGCGACTCCGCCCATTGTAGCCTGACTCCGCCCAGCCCAAAAGGTATATAAACGGCTCCACGGCCGACCAGCTCAGGTCACAGCAATCCTGCCCAAATCACCACATCCTTTCCTCACATCGATCTCATGTGGTCGAAGTCATATGACAACCTCTTCACTCTTGAGCAACCTGAACACAAGAAATCAGGCTGCGCCTATTCATTACTTGTATCATTGTTGTATTAATTGTACAGTTGTATTGTTATGCCATAATTGTTGTATAATTATGGTAAACAGTTTAATTACCCAAGTTTGAGGTTTCCGGCATTGTGACTGCTACTTACAAAAAGTCCCGCGTGGCATACACAAAGGCGAGCAGCAAATTCAGACCGAATCATCTTAACTACTTGGTATTCCTATATAATCGAGCCGTCCCACCATATCAATATCTTTTGCAACAAATCACTCTGTCAGAACAATATCGCCCTGGAAAGACCTTCCTCGTTCACCTACTTCTAAATTCGTTTTGAAAATCGAACTGTCCAGACTTGTACTGTAGTTCCCTACTCTCTCCTGTAATGTAAGTAAGCATATTTTTGAAATTACAAAATGCGAATTATGGAAAGGACTACGAAAATGGCATTATTAATACCTTTGTCTTTAAATTCTCTCAATTCTTCCAGCACTGTTTCCGTCATGACGGAAAAACTATATCGAGGTAAGGAGACTTCGAGGTGATTTTCGGTTTAAACTACTGCTATTTCGGTAATCTTAAATTGTTATCACTTTTGATTTCGTGAGCTTATGATCTTGGTTTTATAGCACATATTGAGAAAAAAAAGAAAATTTCTTCAAATTCAATACTAACCTTGGATATGGTGCATTGCGTTAAGTAGGTAGTGGCGGCGAGTAGCAAAGTCATTCCTAAATATTCAGATTCAAATGAAACCAATTTCAAGAGAAACCGTTTTGAAAGTTACTAACGCTACCATCTCTTTGCACCAGAATCAATACACCAGTATGACTAAATTTTGCGTTCACATACATCTTGCATATGAATGGGATGATAGAATGACGAAGGGGATTTGTAATTACCACTCTCCATAAGGTAATAGGAATCAACAGTCCGAGCGATTTGGTGGAGAACCCACATGGATCAACAAGTAGCGGATAGTGTAGCGGTAGTGATGCCGGTCATCACGAGCACGGTGCCGGTACGGTCCTGCTCCTAGCTAACTAAAGCTTTCTTCCCTCCGGTTTCTGGAAAATGGTACCAGACGTGAAAAAATCGAACTCTGAAAATCAATTGGGGACGCCTTGCCGTGACTATCTCAGGGCTCCAGTGAGAATCGTTTCGACCAGCATTCTACGACATTGGAAATGAAGTGAAGATCCTCAAGCTGCAGCTGAAGCCACAGTAAAAGTTGTAATATCTTACGGCTGATAAAAAAGAGGAAACGAATCGAATGAGAGAAGTGAGATCGGAACAGCCGATGTGAAGACGACTCGTACAAAAAAAAAGTTAAGGAAGAAGATAGTAATGAACACGTGTCGATATGTTAACACTAGTTTGATTTTAAAAGAAAGGCTTCATTTGGTTAAGGCTTCGAGCCCTTCGAATCCCCTTCGCTCCAATTCCAGAGCCGAAATGATCCATGTCGGTTGTTGTTGTTCCCGTTGTTCCAGTCAATTATTCCCTCATACGACGTCAGTCTTCGTGATCGTATTGAATCGAATCCAGTGGAGCAGCGTTCGAATGAAGTAACTTCACTTGGTAGTGCTATTTTACACAGAACGGTTATTGATGCTAGCCGTCGGTTAATAATCGTTTGTTTTTCTTCGGACGGTCTATCCTACAAAAGTCGGTATCTTTATCAGCTAGCACAGAGTGTAGCAATGTTTCAAAAAAAACTTTCCTTTAGCCTTGGCATGTTTAATTAACGTACATCTTTCATGGTGTAATTAACGTACACAGACGTCAGTCACACAGGAAGCTATAAAATGTATTTCCATATGCTCCTCATCAGTTAGTCACAGTGTCATAAAGTTTCCAACAACTTGTTTTGAATGTGTCGTTTTCTTGTTCAGCAATCGCGAGGTTTTTAAACAGCATACATTTACTGGCCAAAAGAAAGTCCCGTTCATGTTGCCTTTTATAAGCGATGAGGTAAGCGTAGCTATAAAACGATGCTTGAGAAGGGCAAGTCTAGAGGAATCGGTAGCGATAGTTGAAATGCCACCGGCTACTCTACGTCGTCAATTAGTCCGTAACCGCCTATATGACCGTCTGTGTGAAACAACAAATTGCGTAATTTGCCCTTACGGCAGGGACGGTGATTGCATGAGTTCAGGTACGATATACCTGATCTCTTGTAATAATTGCGGAGATGAATATATTGGCGAAACGGGCAGACCTTTGTGTATCCGTATAAAAGAACACCTAGATGGCAAACGAAAACTAAGACGAAGCACCCCACTAGGCACGCATAGGATACAAAAGCATAGCGGAGACGATTTTGAAGTAAAAGTCAATATCCTTGCACAGGAGTCCAAAACACCAGCGCGAAAACTCCTTGAGGCTTTTTGGATCAATGCCAAAAACCCTACAATGAATAGCAGGGATGAATGCCCGGAGGTCATACGCGACCTGATCCCGTACGTTCGCATCGATTTTTGATATGGGATGGTGCAGTCGTCAACCACATGCGACTATAATCAGCTGTTCAAAACTTCCTCATTGGAAGTCACGAAAAAGCGGTGGGTTTTTTCGAGAAGTTGTTGATCATGTAATTACCAAGGAGTCTTTCGTCTTTTTGTAAGTGTTATTGAAGCGTTTGGCCTAGTAGATTGTATATCAGCATACCCTTCCAGGCTCTGAAGAAGGCGATACTGCCGAAACGTCAGCTAGCGTTGTATTGTATTGTGCTTTTTATGGAAGTAAATATATGCTGTTTAAAAACCTCGCGATTGCTGAACAGGAAAACGACACATTCATATTCCAATGCCGAGGTTAAGAGAAAGTCGATCCTGGGAACTTGTTTTGATTTATGAATATTTGAAAATACGTCTACGGTCACGTTCATTTTAGAGCGAGAGGCTGGTGCGAAGACGATATGGATAACTTTCCATAGCTTCCCGACAACTAGAAAGATCCAGTCCGTAGAAGGGATTGTATAACCTGTATCACCTGTAGTCCCACTGATCGTCGAGTGACTCGGACGGACGCCAGTAAATCTTCCACTTTTCCCTATTGCGTGCAAGCGTAGCCCAGTGGGTTCTGCTCACTCTAGAGACTCGTCGAGCATCATATTTTTCTTCAAGGCTCTTTGTGATGAACTCTGACCATCGGGTCGGTGGTCCTCCTGCAGTACTTTTGACAACCCGAGAAATCCAGTCACTAGCGGATCTTGTCCATCGGTTGTCATTCATACACATTACGTCTCCGGCCCACCTTATCCTCGACTGTTTGGTGTACAGAACGGCATCTTTGATTTTTGATCGTTGACGCAGATTCCCAAGCCGCTCGTTTTCTTCTGCTCAGCTCTGGAGCTAGGTCGTTCATCATATTGATTTCCCGATCTAGATAGATAGATATAATAGATATAACTGCAGCATTCGGAGATGATCATTTCGCTGAGCTTGAATGGGGCATGCGAAACCAGTTCGTTCTTGATGAACATCGTTTTTGTGAGATTTAGTCGAAGACCAATCTTTCCACAGGCTTTATCGATGTCGCCAAGCATACGTTCCACTTGGCTGATGTTTGGTGTTATAAGGACGATGTCATCAGCAAAGCTGAGACGCTGTAATTGCCAACCATCGATTTTCACTCCCGTGTTATCCCATTCCAATGCTGGCATAACGTTCTCGAGAGTGGCGGTAAATAATTTTGGCGAGATGGTATTGCCTTGTCTAACCCCTTTTTTGACGTTGATGGTAATATCGTTGTAAAATAGTGGTTTTTTGGTTGTGAAAAATTTATATAATTTAAGAAGATTCTTTACATTATGAGTAAGGACTTTCTGGTTGTCCAAGGCTTTCAAGACTGCTTCTGTCTCAACTGAGTCAAAAGCCTTCTTTAAATCGATGAATGTGAGACAGAGCGGTATTTTCTACTCTCACGACACCTCAATTAGTCTTGTAATCGTGTAAATGTGCTCCATGGATGGCTGTTCATCGACCAGTGTTCTGCTAATCCTGTTTAGGATAACTCGAGTGAAAAGTTTGTAGACGACAGACACCAAACAGATTTGGCGATAGTTACCGATGGAATGGAGCTCACCCTTCTTAAACAAGAGCATGCTCTTGCTGGTTTTCCAGTGAGTAGGGACCTTGCATTAAGACAGATAACGTGTGATGAGCCGAGCCAGTCTGTTTACAAGAAGTGGCGGAAGGTTCTTCATGTGGTCAGATCTTATCCTGTCCGAACCTAATATTGTTCGATTATTCATCAACGAAACAGCATGTCGGATTTCGCAACGAAGGACCGATGGTACAGAATATCCATCCTCCTTGATTTCACATGACGGAAGGTAAACATGGCTATTGAAGAGATAGTATGGTGGTATTCGTTAACGATTTTCTCCATTGCCTTTCTGGACGCTGTAGCTGTTTCATCTGGACATCAGGGTGCAGTTATCTTGATTTTATAATTGGTGAAGCTTCGACGCGGTTTGCGAATGCTTTTGCCAGCATCTGAAGCTTCGAGCATAACTGCTGCTCTTTTCTCTTTAAGATCTTTTAACGCCTGTCAGCATTGCTTTGCAAGTTTGGACGTGAGTTGGTGGCTGCCTGGAGCTCGTGCGGTTCCACGCTGGCATATCAGCTCGAGTGTTTTTGGAGAGAGGAGCAGTACTTTTCCGGTATCGTAGGGCGCGTTAAGTGGAGGGTAGCTTCTTGTCCAGGTTTCTCCGAAAAAGTATCTAAAGTGAATCAGTAGGTTTTCTAAGCAAGACTGGAACGCTAGAGCTGTAGACGTTATAACTAAA